ACCTTAAACTCACTCATAAAGTGATTTTATAGGACCTGGAGGGGAAAGTGTATCATGCTCACTTACTTCACTAAACTACTAAAGGTTTAGAATAGAATTTCTGCCTGCACTTGATTTATTTTCTCAAGGAACTGAATTGAAAACATTTCTGACAAGCTGAAGGCAAAGCAGAGACAACATAATACAGAAGCACAAAGGACTAAAATCAGTCTAAGTGCTTTGTGCCTGCTAATTCTTATTCCCTCCCATGAAAACTATCCTATTCTTTCATAACCTATCTAGGATGCCAAAGATGAATTAGAAAGCAACCGTGGTAAAATAGTAGAACATATATCTTCTCAGTATGGCAACACAATTATTAAAAAAAATAAAAATGTCTAGTCTTTGTATTTTCTTTAAAAATGTCCTTGACAGGATACTGTGCATTAAATGTTTCAGAACCAGAACAAAGCAACCAGGAAGAGAGGATAGCTCAGTGATGACAACTGAGTAGATGATGATGCTTTCACTCAGGAATCCTACATTTAGATCTTGATATTTGGAAAAGACTACTGCCTAAGAAGATAGATGGCATTTTGGAAGGTCATTTTTCTTGAGTTTGGAAAACCATTTACATTAGAAATTTATTTCATTGTTCCATGTAAGTGGAAAGGTTTCCCACTGTTCCACTTTTTAAAACTATCAGCATCTGTATAATGTCTGTGAAAACGATTTGTACAAAAAAACCCCCCTCTCTCTTTCCCCTTCCCTTCCCCTTTTGCTCAGAAAAAGTGTTTTGGGGGCAAAACCCAACATTGTGAGACACCTTACAACAGTTGGCCGTTTCCTTGATTTATATGTCAGGAACTCTTTCTCACAGAGGATAAGAAAAATTACATGTCTTGCATCCCTAATGCACACATACACACAGAGACCCTGCCTTTTGTACAGTATATTCTGGCGTATAAGACTACTTTTTAACCCAAGAAAATCTTCTCAAAAGTCAGGGGTCGTCTTATACGCGGGTGTAGTCTTATGCATGGGAGTTGTCTTAACTCTATATTTTAACTGGAAAAGTTGGGGGTCGTCTTATACGCCCAGTCGTCTTATATGCCGGAATATACGGTAATTACATAATTTAGCATCTTAATTAGCCAAGGTCGCACTACCCAAATAAAGTGCTATTTCCATGGAAAAGTCTTATCAGGATTTCAATGAGGTTGTATGAATGCACAGGAAGGAGAGCAAAAGTCCAACAATAGTTCTTTCTAGATTGGGTTGGGCCTATCTTTGAGACCACATCTCCTTCTATGAACCAGCATGGGCATTAAGATTTGCGGGGGAAACCCTTCTTTCAGTGCCATCACCGTTTCAAGAATGATTGGTGAGGACGAGAGAGAGAGAGAGAGAGCCTTCTTGGTGGTGGCTGCTCTGGAATACCCTCCCTAAAGAAATTATATTAGCCCTCTCTCTTTAGGCCTTCCAGCAGAGTCTAAAAACATGGATCTTCAGTCAGCTCTCGAGTTATCCATGGCTAATGTGATGAATCGATTGTACTGGCCCGCACTTTGATTGATGGTTATGACAGATAGCCAGCCGGCAGGTTCCACTGTGTTTTAGAAATTTTATAATTTTCAAATTTTTATAATTTTATTAATGAGATTTTTATGTGCTGTTGATTATACTTATGTCATTGTATTTATACTTATGTATTCTTTTCTGCATGTGGCACTTGGAGTGATTCTGTGAGCTGGCCCGAGTCCCTTTGGCGTCATGGTGGTGGGGTACAAATAAAGATGATGATGATGATTATTATTATTGTTATTATTGTTATTAATTACATTGAGATCAGGATCCAATTTCCCCACTCTGTCCCACTCACCAACTGTATACTTTCATATACGATCCCACTGTAAACGTGGGATCCAGGGCTACATGCATCTCACTTTCCCTACCTTTGATCTAGGACCTCATTACATGCAGGCTTCCCCCTGTTCCTAGGCACTTTAAAAACTGAATCCCACAGAGGCCACCAAAATGACGTAAGACTACTTTCCGTGGAACTCCGGTTTTAAAGTGTCTATAAATGGGTGTTTTTGCAGACAAGCTTTATCCTTCTCCAGATCTCTGAATTTGCTTCGAAGAGGGGAAAGGCAAGCACTTTAACATGTGATGACATTTGTCTGATATCTCCATTGTATTGTTTTATGGTGGCAAATGGAGCAGTGACTGCTGTTGAAATGGTACGTATGATGGAAAGGCAGCAATTCTCCGTACATGGAAATGCAAGAATGGAAGATGGTTTCCCCCACTTCCCCCCTCCCCAATGAGATGAGGTCCCTACAGATGTGTTTATATCTAGATATGTGTACATGCATTCAAGTCACCAGCCAATTTATAACAACCCAATGGATATCATAGAGTTTTCTGAGGCAAGGAATACTCAGAGATGGATTTACCAGTTCCCTCTTCTGAAATATAGCCTACAGCACAAATGTATTAGTCCCCTACCCCTTACTTAAACTGCCTTTTATTGTCAACAAATAGCTATTTTCTGATTACTACTTAAAATATATTGTTAGAAGTGCTAAAAAATTTAGAGTTCAGAATATCTTTTCTGAAATAGTAATTCACTATTGGCTATGTTACAATGTTAAAGAGTCATGTGTTATTAATGTGCTACCTTTTTGTTACTTTTAATCATTTTCATATGTTAAAATATTTTAAATCATTTTTGAACATCTACAAATACAAGATGACTAAGTAAACCCACAAATGACCCGGGGGGGGGGGGGCAGGGCATTTTAGGAATAACAAAAAAGTTAATGGCTTTATGAGTCATGGTATTATTTTTTTAAAAGATCAAATGCATTCTTCTTACCTCAAAATTAATGCCTTGCAGATAGCATTATTACTTACAATGCATTACTATCCAGCTCTGAAGGGAATACATGAAAATGTGCATGGACATGATTTATATGCCTCAGTCTTTCTGACTCATGATGCAACATTTCACCTACTGAACTGTTGACTTACTCACCTCCCCCGTTTTAGCGATCTTTACATTTTGACTTAGTGCTTATGAAGTCAACAACAAATGCTATTAAAGGTGCCCAGGTGCAATTCTATCTTTATCTTTCCTGAAAGGATTAAGAGGTACAGAATAGTAGCTCAGGTAAGGAGGAAGGAAGTCAGCAAAGATGCTTGTTAATTAACAGTAATTTCAACTCACACTGTTTCTAAAGATCAAATGGAAATGTTTTAACCAAAGGAGAAAGATTGGAGGAAGGGGGGGGGGGAGCATTTACTGCCCTTGGATTATAGCCAGAAGCTTAAATAATCAATTACTGCCATTGTGGAAAATGTTGTTTAGGTAAATGCTACAAGGGGAGGGTTGGCTGTAAGAAAAATGGGGTTAGATTTTTTTAAAAAATCAGAGAAGGCAGGATACTGAAGAACATCTGGAACTATAGCCTTGGCATATAGATGCTTGCACCTGCTCACTGGAGGGAAGGAGATTAGAGGCAAAGATGAAGTACTTTGGCTACATAATGAGAAGACAGGAAAGCTTGGAGAAGATAATGATGCTGGGGAAAATGGAAGGAAAAAGGGAGAGGGGCCAACCAAGGACAAGATGGATGGATAGTATCCTTGAAGTGACTGGCTTGATCTTGAAGGAGCTGGGGGTGGCGACGGCTGACAGGGAGATCTGGCATGGGCTGGCCCATGCGGTCATGAAGAGTCAGAAGTGATTGAATAAATAAACAACATCTTGAGGACAGGGTTATATAACTTCACCAAGGGACACATTTCTGCTTTGAGATCCTCCAGAAATACAATCCCCTCTCCCAGTATTATGCATATTCTGCTTTTTAAAAAAATGATCATTAATGCCATACAAGGAAAGGCCCATTTAAAAAATGAACCACTGCTCCTATAGGTTTTTAGAAAAGGTAGTTCTCCCTTTGTAAACCATGGAAATAATTAACCTCTTATAGGAGTTTAGGGAGTCATTTTCTTTATCATCTACTGCAAACAATTGTTATAAATACATATTGTTTTCACATTTCTCACATCAAAAACACTCTCTTGTTATGGATGAAATTTCGGATTTATTTTTGTGGTCAGGCTTGGGTTTGCACATAGATGTTGATCATGATTGGTGTATTAGTGAGAACAGGGAAGCCCTGGCCCTTGAGTGCTCCAGCTGGAGGTCACCTGTGACCAGCAGTGCTGCAGAATTTGAAGAGGCACGAATGGAGGATGAAAAAGAGAAACGTGCCAAGGGAAAGACACATCAAGCCAACCCCGACAGAGACCGCCTTCCACCTGGAAACCAACCAGAATACTGATCCTGGAAGACTATCCTACTTGGCCAACGAGGGATTGTCTAAGTAAAGTAAGTATTAGTGTGAGCACTGGGTAGGTGAAACAGGACTACAATTCTTTGACAATTCATATGTTTACATGTAACAATGTAAATATGTATGAACCAATATTATGAAACATGAGATAGCTCTTGGAAAATAAGTGTTAAAGAAATAAAGAGCTTAAACCATAATGTTAGTCCTGATTAAAATATAGCCATTGAATTAATGGGAGTTATCTATGCATTGAATTATTATTCAGCAATTGATTCAGCAGATCTCCTCTGGTTGGACTATCAAACAGGATTCAACACAACAGTCCTGGAATTTATGAATCACTGTTATAATTCAGTAATGTGCCAAGCATTAACATCATTTGATTTGCCACTAGTGTTGATTCCTCAAAAATTCAGATAATTTGAAAGATTTTAATTTTAAAGGTGCTCAGGTGCAATTCTATTTCATAAACAAATCTGTGAAATGAAATATGCAAAATGCAAATCTTAATGGTTACTTTTTCATTTTAGGACTACTTTATGTTTTATTTGTGACAAGGAGTGATCCAGCTATTTGCATAAATGTGCATAACATTTCAATTTCAGCATTAAAAAAACCAAAAAAAAACCACACAAAAACATTTCTAGAAAAACTTACTTTCTGCAGGCTCTTTAGATCTTCTTCCACTGGAGGATTTCCTCAGTAAACTTCGGCCTGAGGTAAAAAGGCTGGTTAATTCCTCGAGAGGACTGGTTGGTGTTCTGGATCGTGAACTACTCTGCGAAGATGACCCGTAGGTATTGACAGTGACGTTTACCATTTTCCCTCCTTCTTGCAATATGTTTCTGGCTGTTGAATGAGGCACTGATGGAGAACTTCTTGAGAGACTTCCTGAATGTACAGAATCATAAGGAGGAGGTCTTTTGAGACTTAAGGGGGTAAGTGACCGACCCATACTCACAGGAGAGGGAGAGGCAGAGTGGCTTTTTGGATAGCCGTGTGGAGACTGTGTTCTGTATAAGGTAGAAGGATGAGGAGGTGAAGAGGAGTGCCCTGGAGTACTAGTTCCATGAGATGCTGTCTGGTCTTTCTCCAGTTTTTGATGACTTGGCGTGTGAGGTGGCAGTGAAGATGGAGAAGGTCCAGCTTGCTGTTTGATATAAGACACATTTTCTAATACAGGAAGCTTGATCACTTCCAGTGGTGTTAAAGGAGATTCATCAGAATTTGGGGAGCACTGCACTGGTGCAGGCGGGAACACTAGGAGTGGAGGTCTGTGAGAAAGCAAATTTGGAAATGGTGGGGGTATGTCACAAAGCACACCCTTGGGAGTGGATGGCAGAGAGGACTTGGTGAAATCAAGGTCAGGCACTGTGGGAGTAGCACACTGAGAGGAACAGCTGTGATGGTCATACTCACATGGACACTTTGAATCTTGGCCACCCTCATCAAAGATGGGATACTTCATTTCCTCATAAACTGCCTCACTTTGGTCCTCCTCATCTTTTTTGAAGTCTCTAAGTATATTTCCAACCATTTCAATATAAACTGGTTCATCTTCCTCCGTATCAGGAGCAGGACTGCTGACCTGTGATAAGGAGGCATCTCTACTCAGTGTTGACTTTAAGGAGCCATGTTTTTTAATGTATGTCTCATCAAAAGATGCACTCAACTGTGTGTTTGGATTCCGTTTTGGCTTAGGAGGAGGAACTTTCTTTGTATATTCATCACTGTGAGGCCTTTGTTTGCCTGACACTGTGGAAGAAACAGAAATATAAATTGATAAGACAATTAAAATATTGTTCAATTTCTAATGCTGACATCTGCATATTATTCTTATAACATACTTTTTTAAAGAATTGTTTTTCATAACATCACTGTACAGTTGAAAGCATGCTTTTTGTAAAACACTTCTGAGATAACTCCATATAATTTCACTAAAAGTTGAGTGGTACCCACCATTTCTAGAAACAAGGCTGCCTCATTAGGACAATATGGCATCATTGAAAAGGTCTTACTACTAGTCCAGCCATTTGTTCCCACATGAGGAACTCCCAATCGGTATGTCTGAAGATACTGATCAATTTCTGTGTGAGAGCTCCATTTCATTAATATGTCTAACCACATTTCACTGCAAAGTATACATTTACAAGCTTTTCCTTTTGTAGGTAATTTCTTCTAGTGCTTTAAAAATTAGAATATTTTCTAATATTAAACATAGCATTTGAGGATTGAAAGAATCCTTTTTACATATCCAGACTCAAATATCTTGTCAAAGTCAGTAGTGTCACATCTTTTGTCTGGTTGTCTGGATTACCCTGTTTTACTAATCTGTTTGAAATTGCTCTGGAGTGATACCCATGTAACCTTACAGTGCGTGTCTGAATTTATTCATTTGATGTGGGAATTAATGGAACTTGGTTGTTATGAAGTGCCCTGTCTGTGTTTTTTTAATTGTTTCAGATGTCTCCCAAGGGATGTCTACTTACCATCTGCCCTGCCATGCTGACTCGGAACTAATTCACAGAATTCAAGTCGATTGCATAGGTAAGTGTTTAAATATACCTTACTGTATATAGACAGGTGAGCTGAGCAACAAAGCAAATATCAAGTTTTTGCCAAGAACTTCAAGATAGCTCCTCATAGGATGAATGAGGTGAAGCTTATAAAGCATTTTGGCCATAAAAATGCCATAAAAACAATTATTTGTGAGATGTTATTGACAGACCAAGTGCAGGCCAGTCCTATTATTAAACAGAGTGAAGCAACCTCCTCAAGTGAGAAGTTATCCAAGGGGACAGCAGCTATCTCTTGTGAGTCCTTCTCCAACTTTATTTTTTCCCCCAGGTGGGAAAGCATTTGGGACTGTCCCCAATAACACACATTTGAAAATAAGACACATGGATTAGATGAGACCTCATCATATGGAGTTTTTTTTTTTTGAGTTTTTACCCATTTTTACCCTACCCTAGAAACTTTTAAAGAGAACCTTAAAACCTGGCTCTTCTGCTGCGCCTTTGGTGAGTAGGTACACAACTTCACATGATTGCTCACCCTCAACATTTCTGTCACTGGAGTACATGTCCCCCCTCCCCCCGGTAGGAAAGCTTGGTCCCACAATCCCATTTTTTTATGAGCTCCCCTTCTCAAATAACCTTCTCCTCCTTTTATCTCACCTGAGTTTTTAAATCATTTTGTTCTGCACATGTTCTCCATTGTTACTATGATTGTTATTATAATTTTATATTGCTAATGTATTCATATGTTTTTATGTAATTATGATGTTGTTGTTCGTTGCTTGTGTTTTTGGTTTTATTTTGCTGTAATTTGTTGCTTGGGCTTGGCCTCATGTAAGCCACCCTGAGTCCCCATTGGGGGAGATGGTGGTGGGGTATAAATAAAGATTATTATTATTATTATTATTATTATTATTATTATTATTTCTTCACACTCCAAAGGTAAACTCCCGCAGAGCCCATTAGATGATGCAGGACTGCGTCTGGTGGTTGCTCCTGGGACTCTGTCTCAGTAGAGTGTAGAAACAGGAGGATTTCAAAGATGAGTAGACTCAAATCATTTTTCTGCTCATAGAAATGCTTAAAAATTGGTGCTTTCCCTCGTGACAGAAAGTGGTGGATTGTCTGATTACTTTGTGATTTTTTAGTTTGGGCATTCATGTGAGTGGTCTGCTAATGAGCCTTTAAACCATTATTGGTTTAAAGATGGTGTAGGCCCCATTGAAAGAAGTGTTTTAAAATGTGTTTATCTTTGTAAGTGTAGGGACTCTGTGGCAATGACTCCATGGAAAGTGGTGTCTCAAAAAGGAAAGGATGTGGGCTCCTTTAGTGTAGGGGCTTCAAGGGAACAATCCCATGGAAAGTGATGTCTCAAAAAAGATGCCTATTTTAAATATGTGCTGGTATCTTGAAATGGTTGAGCTAGAAAGGGGAGGAGGTGATCCTGTGTGATAGGGATGAGTAAATTCTCAATCTTATTTAAAAATGGAACTCCATGAAATGCCACACAAAGTAGATGCTTCTTCTTGCTTCTCTCTCCCCCGTTCTTGGATGGAGTCCCAGTTAATGGAGAGATTTCAAGCCCACTTTCATGTTAATGGTCGTGGTATCTAACACTCTTTTGCCACTTATACATATCTTACCTCAATTGAAGACATGCACCAATCCCCAGGCTCGTATATTGAACCTTATTTCCCTCCACCATTTCTGATTAGTCCCACAAGTGTGTCTGTAGGGTACATCAGAGTTGGTGGGGAAAATCATACTTTAAAAACACATGTGGATTGATTGACATCTTGCATCATGCAGGTTTTCTGGGTTGTGTGCAATCCTGTATAGACCTATTGCAGGTTCTATGTAGGTTAAAACTCTTCCCTGTCTGAATTTCAAGGACTAGAAATTAGAGCCATCTGGGTACAGTTTGATAGCTGCCAGTAGCATAATATGCTTCAGAACCATGCTGTTTATAATGATACAAAGGACAGTGTAGATTAAGCTACTAGCCTTTTCAATATGGAGAGTAGGCTTTAGGGTAGAAACTTGTATTAAAGTGACCTTCAGGTCCTTTCCAATTCTGCACTTTTTTCATTCAGTGGAAAGGTCTTTCACTGTTTATTCTCCCGGCACCCCACCAATAATCCAGTCATTACATGCGCTTTCCATTTTTGCATTGTGCTATACATTGAAGAAAAGGAAGATAACATGGTTCGAAATGCAGTATGGCAGAGCTTGGCATTTACTCATCTCGTGTATGTTGCCATTATATATCATATATAGAAAACAAAATTCAGTTAGAGGCATAAAGGTCATCTAACTTCACCCTTGTACATAATATGAAAATAAATGTCTGCAGGAGGACTCCTCTATTCTTGTGCAGGACTCTTATATGTGTTTTAGTATTACTTACATGAAACTATTTTAATAAAGTAATAGAAGAAAAATGTATTATGAACTCCTTCCACCCACCTCACCCCCCACATGAATTGTAAATATTTTATAACATAATCTGTATAAAAGAATGTACTTTACTATAATTTCAAGTCCTGGCGGAAACCTTTCCAGAATATTAAGAAGCAAATAGAAATACTAGGAAGGCAAAATTCTGAGAACGATAAACACTGGAAAAAATCATGAAATATTAATGAACATGGGTGCAACTAACACTAGACATGGACGATTCTTATCTGTATATGTGTATCTGACAGTGTCTCACAGGCAATAAAAAGGAATTAGTTGGTAACCTATATACAAGAGAGAAAGAAGCATTAGTACTGCGTAATTTAGCCAACAAGGACAATGTTATATACATGCCAAGAGCACAAACCCACATCTTGGCAAATTATCACACTTAATATCCACATGCTCCATTATTACCTTTTGAAAATATGGAAACCTAGCCAAGAAGTACAAAACTGAGGTCCACCTGGTTCAGGATAAAATATATATATTGTAGTTTCAGAATATTATTCAGAATTTTCTCAATTTTTGTTCTTCCAGTGCTGTACTCTTTTTCCCCCTTCTTATTCCTAAATGCATACAGATACATATGAAACAGCAAATACACATGTCTTTCTGCACATGCACTTGCACACCATTAAACACCAATTAATGCTATTGTGTAGTTTTTTCCTTTTCAAATTATGAAAACAATGCAATTTTTTCTTGTGTGTGTTTATGGTATAGTTGCCCTTTTTTGTAATGAATATGTTCAATTCTGAGGTCTGTGATGTGTTTAGGCAACAAAAATATGCACAAGACAAAATGTATAGTGGAAAAGTGTGTACAAACCAACATGTGTGAATGTACACATAAATACATTTCCATTTCTCTTTAATCAATGGGAAAATATTCTGAGAAAATGTATTAAAATGTGGAAACAATGTAAACTTGTATGAATTTTAAACTGACATTTTAAAATTATGTATAATTATTTTAGTGTTAGTGGTTGGTGTTTTAATCTAATGTTTATGAGTTTAAATCTATATTTTATGTGGTTTTCTATATTTTAGTTATAAATTGTATTTTAATGTATGTGTACCCTGCCTCAAGTCTTGGGGAAAAGCAGATAAGAAATAAAATTTGTGGTTATTATTATCTTTCTTGTTCTGATATTTTTATATTAACTACAACTTTTCAAATCCATTACTAATAATAGGGTTTTTTTTTCTATCCAAGGAGTTTCTGATACAAGCTGGTATAAATGTCACACTACTGTATTAAGTATCTCGGTTCCTCCCACTGTTCCTTTGCACAATTTCTGATGTTATTTGGAATGGTTGTGTGACCTTTGATGATGTTAAGAATGGGATATAACCTTTGCCAATGGGTTTTTTACACAAGCCTTCATTCCTCCATTACATTTCTAGTTACTAGAGTCAACACTTCTTTTCCATTCTTTTTTTTTTCAGTTACAGCACAGTAGTTTAGCATTACAAAATCCCCCTCCATCTCCCCAAAGGGACTCAGCCCAAAAGCATGGACTCAGCCCAAAAAACCCAGGTTTTTTGGGAGGTGTTTAGACTTAAAATCTTCTAGACTCATTCATGAGTATATAGGGAAATTATGCACCATGTGGAAGAAAAAAGCAACTGAAAAGAAACACATTGACTGGGCAAATGCTGAACTCCGTTACAACAAAACAGGATCCAAACCCTAGAATGTTTAGGAGATGATTAGATCCAGGGCAGAAATAACCATGACAAGATGTAGTATCCTGAAACAGACAGCCCTAACATTTAC